TACTTGTATATACTGTATGTGTGATTACATATATATATAGTTGTACTGTAGACATGGTGATAATTTAAATGAGATTACTCTAGTAGCTAGGTAATCCTATTAAAGAGATAATGACGTTAGAGGCTGGAGTACAACAGATGAAAGGAAACTAACATTCTTGTAATAGATGAGGAGAAGATGAGAGAGAGAGGGGGGGGAGAGAGAGGGGGAGAGAGAGAGGGGAGAGAGAGAGAGAGAGAGAGAGTGAAAGTGTGTGTGAGAGACAGACAGGCGGGCAGTGAGATTGAGTGAGCAACAATTGCATCATTAATTATCATCATGCTTCTATGCTAAGTTCCAAGAAAGTGTTGAGCCATTAAGTCAGGAAATGATGGTACAACAACACAACAAACAACAATCATACATGTAGCTATACACTCCAGGCAAAATTAGCATGATAAATACCAGATGGCATAAACTTCACAAGAATGCTCTATTCTGATTGCCAAATAATTACTACACATGTAACAATTAATTATGAATGTGAATTTATACGTACACAAACGTGTTTCAATTTTCTTGCATTTTTCTTGTGTGAGCATGATTGAGAATTCACTGTGTACATGTACATGAACATTATTATATTTGTAGCAAATTTATATAATGGACACTTTAGCACAGGAAAGTGTCTCTGTTATACAGAGGTGTCCTTTATGTGGAGGTTATTTTATACAGTAAGGAATGTAATTGGTACACTAGGCGATGTCCGTTAAATGGAGGTGTACGCTATAGAGAGTGTCCATTAAGAGAGGCTATCAACGCTGTAGAGAGTGTGAGAGAGGTATAAATACAAAGAGATCGAGTCTGTGAGATTTTTATGGGATAGTTTGTTTATGTGGCCATTACAACTATAGGATTCTGTAATAATGATAATAACTATCATAACAAGATATAAAAAGTCTAGCAAAAATAGAGAGAGTAGTATTTTGAAAAAAATCACAAGTAAAGAATTTTCCATTTTTATAATTTTTCTAATACATATACAATACATGTTCTTATGTTGTGTAGCAAGTTTGAACTGATTCCAATCAAAATTGGACTTTTTATAAATTTTTTTCAGTTGCTCAAAAATCAGGCCAATGACCAAAGGCTATAGCCTTGGGTCGTTGGCCAAATTTTGCCAAAAATGAAAAGTAGGGAATTCTCCATTTTAATAATTTTTCTGATACATATACATATCCTTATGTTGTGTATCAACTTTGAGCTGATTCCGATCAAATTTGAATTTTTTACGAATTTTTAAAGTTGCTCTAAATGATATATAGTCAGCTCATGAAGCTCATGCTGTTTAGCTCACATGACAATTTGACATATGCTTTGTGAGAAACTAGACACATTATACAAAATAATGAAAGATTAGAAAGGAATACATACAATGTAGGAGACATACATGTATATTGGTTACAGGATGCCTTACCTGGTGACGAGGTAGGCAGGATCCGTCACTATCTCAGGCCCGACACGAACATCTAAAGAATGTCAAGGATATATTATGACCTGGAGCTATTCAAGCATCCTAGTACACAGTGGTACTAGGACAGTTTAATTAATGCTTGACACTTGATGTGTGTGCCCACATAAAGTAAAGGAGAGAGGAGGCAGAAGAAGGAAATTAGCCTTTATACAGTACAGTAATCATAATTAGTTTTTTACTGATAGTACAGTGCATATAAATCAATTGAAGACATATTTATATCAGTGTTGTACCATTAAAAATGTATTTTTGACAACATGTACAATTGTACAGACTAGCCTCTATATAATGGACACTTTGGTAGTGTCTCTGTTATACAGAGGTGTCCTTTATGTGGAGGTTATTTTATACAGTAAGGAATGTAATTGGTACACTAGGTGCTGTCCGTTAAATGGAGGTGTACGCTATAGAGTGTCCATTAAGAGTAGTGACTAATTTATATTTATTGTAAGTCATGCTAACTGTGCATGTACATGTACATAAATCTCTCCCTCTCTCTCTCTCTTTGGGTAATTATTTCTAATAGTAATAGTTTGGTTTGGATACGTCCTTGCTCAACAAATCTAACAGCATCAGATACCCTTTGGGCCATATGTATCTTCACCATGACAACCGGGAGCCTCCTCCTAGCAGAAAAAAAATATCATTATCATTTTAATCTTATTTTTAATTCATTATCATCTAAACGGATGAAAATTTAAATTAAGTTTATTCAACTTATACAGTGCGAGACATACTACATTATAACGTACATAGATACTATATAGGAGATTATGTTTGCATGTCTGTCAATCAGTGACTGCTAAAGGCTTCAAGACCATATAGAGAATATTAAAGTGTTCTAATATTGTAATGTTAATACCAAACTGAGTCAATTATGGAGTGACTGGGCATAAACAAGGACTCATGCATCAACACATGCGACCGTGTGTCACTGGTAATGTTATTATTATACTGTAACTTATTTATGTCTCTCTCTTTTCTTCCTCTTCTCTCTCTCTCTCTCTCTCTCTCTCTCTCTCTCTCTCTCTCTCTCTCTCTCTCTCTCTCCCTCCCTCCCTCTCTCTCTCTCTCTCTCTCTCCCTCTCT